GCGCACACGCCCACATACACTCTGCCAGCTCGTGGAGGGAGGGAACACACCTCTGTGAGCACACTTTAACCTCCTGAACGACACACACACACACACACACGAACACACACTCAGAGGGTTTGTCAAACTGTTCTGTGTGTCTGCAGTCGGAGCTGCTGTCTCTTCGACGTTTGGACTTTTCTTTCAAAACTTCTTCGGAGGTTTCTTTCAGTTTGGTGCCCTGCAGAACCCGGCAGTGCGCGTCAGGGCTCCCAGGGTGAGCCGTGGAGTCCGCAGGTTGAATGTAAAGAGGACTGCAGCTGCTCAATGAGCGGAGCAAACTGAACTTTCCCTGTGAAGTTTTGTCCCCGCACGTCTCACGCACAGAGAGGGTCGCGGGACGCGGGAGGACAAAGTGAGTCTCCGTCTCTACCTGGGGGTTTTTAGTCTCTCTGTCGGAGTCTGAATCGGCTTCAGGATGTCGGACTCTGCCTCCAGTTTCCTTCATATCGGGGATATCGTGTCCCTGTACGCGGAAGGATCCGTGAACGGCTTCATCAGCACCCTGGGGTGAGTCTCATTCTGCAGCTCTCTGTGTTCACTTTAATGCTCTGGTGTGAATTCACTATAAAAACACATTCAACTGAAACCTGCTGCAAACAAGCAACCATTCCCAGGAACAACATGAGGGGGATTTACTATGCTCCTTTATCAGACACAGAGCAGAGATAATACTCATCACGATACACGCTGTAGGGGTCGATATATCGCGATATTAAACATGAAGCTGAGTAAGAAGTTGGGCATTTGTACTTCCAGTTTAAGTTGTGTTAACTTGAGCACTAAAGGCTCCAAAGCTGTACGGCTCAGCTCCTGCAGAGAAACCGTCAAATGAAAGATAAAGAAACATGTGGACATGTTTGACCCCGATAACAATGAGTGTTTGGGTTTTATTATCAGATTCTTTTGTTGTTGTGGTTTAAGTTTTTAGACTTCTTCAGGCCCCAGAAACTTCCATAATCTGAAGACAGATCTAAAATCAAAGACCTGGGAGCAGATCCTGCAGGATGTCGATGCTTTGGGCTCGACTGGTTGAACTATGATTCCCAGATTAAACTCATAGATGTTTTTTCTCTTTTAATGCAGAGTTTATATTTTATAAATCATACTTTGTCTCCGTCTGTAACTTTGTGTTTGTGCTGCTGACCGTCTCGCCCCTGGAAACCACTTTCTTCAACTCAATGGGACCAACCCGGTTCAATGAAGTTTTAATAAAAGAATAAAACCAATCTGTGCAGCGTCGTTTAGAGTATGACAGTTTGTATGGCTGCTCGTCGTCCGTCACATGGGGCAGCAGTAGAGGGTTGGGAACTGGAGGGTCCGACGCAGATCATAATATGAAAGTTGGTCTGGTAGCTGGAGAGGTGCCGGGTCACTTCCAGAGTACTGACGAGGTGCCTTGATGGCAAACATTGTGGTTCAGTGTTGTGAAAGCACGTCACACACACACACACAGCGCTGTGCTCCCCCGCTGATCCTGTCTCTCCTCTGTAACTACCTCTGAAGACGGTACAGAGGGAGGGGGGGGGGGTCACGCCGTCCCCCAGTTACACCTCCCCGACATTCAGAGTGATGTAGAAATGTCAGAGGGGCTGAAGATATGTGCTCTCATTGGAGAACGAGGGGGGGGGGGGATGTCATGCGGGAAAGCAGCCATAGACCTGACTTGAACCAGGGCTGCCCGCTTGGAGGACTAGAGCCTCCGCACATGGGGCTTGACTTAACCACTAGGCCATCTGCGCCGAGCTGTTTGATGAAAGAGATCGTCTCAGAGAACTTTAACATATTTTGTTTTTATTTTAAATGAAGGGTCTGCGTTCGTCCTGAGCGTCTTTAATCTGAGTCGATCCTCAGAGGTCCTTTAGGTTACGACAGGTTATTAACTCCTGCAGAGTCTCTTCCTCTAAATCAGCTGTTTCGTCCCCTGAAGCAGCTTTATTAAAGACAAATAAAACTTGTTAACAGTGTCACGTTCAAACTCCATGAAGAGCCGTGAGGAGTCCTTCTAGATCAGAACTCTGTGACGATGAACCTCAGAGGCCTCCACGATCAGGGCAGATGCTTCTAAATGTGCTAATACTCATTTTGCACAGTATTATACAGAGATTTCATTGTAGATAACGGACAGAAAAGTCGACCTTGTAAAATAATAAACTGTGTAGAGAAACCATCGTTGTGCCTGATGTCGGGAAAATATGACCCTGACGATGTGTAAACAAATCTATCACTACATTAGGAGGGTGGGATATTTAAAATGATGTCATATTTATCCCACTCTCTCTGGACTTTGACTTCAATTGTACTTGCATGCATTTCTTTTTGCTTCACATCTGCAAACAGTTCAGGCACCGCAGCGTGTGTAGTGAACGGATGAGTGGGGATTACACAGTGAGACTTGATTTAAAATAGAATAGTCTAGATGTTTATTGGCATTTGCACAGGTACAGGTACATTGGAATTTTCTTTGCGTTTCTCCCTGAGTCAGCTTCTACAAAAAAGTTAAAATTCTATATAAAATAGAATAGCATTATAAGAAAAAAAGAGTAGAAAAGTACAAATAAAATTTAAAAAATAAATAAGTTGTAGCAACAACTAGGGCGCACAATCCCCCCCCCCCATTCCCCATTCTGGCATGCACTCACACTGCTCCAGGACTAACCGGGCCTGAGCACGGTTAACTCTTATAACGTCGTAATACTACACATGCATGAATTAAAAAAAGAAAAAGAGACCTGAGGGTTGGAGAACAACACAGAGAACATGACGGCGGTCTTATTTTGGAGTCTTTAGTCAGAAACAGACAGAACACTCCGGGATTCCTCAATAATGGAGGCGGGGTCTATTTTATATCATGTCCACGTTGTGTACCCGTGCTTATGCTCGTGCATGAGCAACTGTACAGTTCTGAAGCTCACCGCTTCCAACCGTGCCAGAGGAAGAGTAAGTCAAGCCAACTGGACTTTGGGGGTCAAACCTACCTGGGTACGGTACAGATCACAATATCACCTGCTGGGGAGAACACCCGTTCAGAGCGAAACACAAATATTAGTGAGCCAGCTTGGAGAGTTGCAGGTTTGTGTCTGTGTCTCTCCACCAATCAGTGAGCTGCTGTCTGCAGAGAGACGAGTCTCCGTCATGTCACAACATCACTGTCTTCATTTACTGAGGTCAAGAGGTCAAGTTACGTGGAGATCGCCCTCTGCTGGATCAAACTGTAAACTCCTTCAGACGGCCCGATGCGCAGATGATATGTTTTGAATTTGAACGGCTCGTTAACAGTTTGAATGAGAACTTTCTCCTCTCAGGTTTGAATGAATGTTCAAACTTTGAATAAAATCTGACAGCTTTACATCGGGCCTCAAACACTCGCAGTGTGCTCGCTGTGTTCCGTGGTTTTGTGGCTGCCTTATCTCCCCGTGTGGTGTTTTATCTTCTGGGTTGTGATATGAACAGAAACGCCTTTGTCCCTGTTTCTGCTCTCTCTCTGAACTCTCTTCATATCACTGCTGCTTCTTTTGGTTTATCTCCTGGGAGTTACATTGTTTGGAAGTGGCTCAGTGGGTTTAAGGTCAGATTTCCGTGTTTTGTTGTTTTCTTACATTCATATTTGGTCTGTAGCGTTTCAGGAATAAAGTCAGACTTCAGGCTGACCAAAGTCATCAAAGGCCCGATTATCTGATGGTTCTAAAGATGATCTTACAGACGTTCCTGCAGCGCGAGGGAGACGATCGGGGCTGTGAGGTCAGAAATAAATGCTAATTGAGCGGCCCGTCAGAGTATCGTCTATGTGTGGGAAACGCTGACGTGAATGTTGAATTCTTATAGAAATACGAGCAAGTCAACGTCCCAGTAAAGACGACGTGTCGGTGCAGTTTGGACCGTCTGCAGGAGATCGTCAGCCATCTTTGACGGGTTCTTTCTTATTTATTACATTTGATCCTTTTTGATTTCATGGATCATTGAAATAACAGATATTGTATCATTTCTTAAAACAAGTTTTAAAAGTATTTAAAACAAGCTGACCTGCAGCCTGCGCGTGTCGGGTTGATGTCGGCCGTTCTGAATCAAACTTTGTGATAAACGGACTCTTTGGTTTTCAGAAAGCGAGGTGCTCGTTTGAAGACCTCTGAATCCACTTTCCTGTGACTCACTGTTCACACTCTTAAAAGCTTGAGCTTAAAGGTTTGAGAGGTGGCAGACGGGGATATCGATTGTGTGGTGGAAATGTTCAGTGACCTGCTGCTGTGAGGGGGGGGGGGCTCAGGATAATGATGCTCTGCTGGAATCTACATCCAGGAATATAGCTCACTTAACTCCTCTGTAACTCTGTGTGGAGAAATATGATGTTTTAAAGGGACAGTTCAGTTTGAATATGTTTAAGCTGTGGTTCAGTGGTCTTTTGTCAACCGGAAGGTCGAGGGTTCAATTCCCCCAGCTCCTGCAGCCACACTTAACCACAAGAAAGAATGTATTAATTAACACACACACACACACACATGCACACGCACACGCACACGCACACACACACACGCACGCTATGTGTGGTTGTATGGCAGGAAAAGGAAGTGCTAGAAAGTATGTCCAGGAGAGATTTCGTGTGTGTGTGTGTGTGTGTGTGTGTGTCTGTGTGTGTGTGTGTGTGTGTGTGTTTCCTGTGCTGTGGTCTCCACTCTCCCGTGTCTGACTCGATCTTGACCTTTCCAGCGTCTCTGCTTCATGTGTTGACTCTAACCGCTTCCCATTGATCTGAGCGGCTGCAATGAAAACAGTAGACGCCTTTTTTAGCCACATGAGCGTCACATGCTATCAGCTGTGAGGGGCGGAGGTCGAGACTGAAATAATGTCACCATGACTGGAGGGTCTGACGTCACCTGTGGGCCATCGAAAGGTCACGACTTCACCTTTACGTTCCATCAGCGGGTAATCAGGCAAGTCAAAGCCATCATCTCCTTCAGAGACTT